CAGTTTAAGTTTTGGTGAAGTATAGATTATCTAATAATTAAAGTAGGACCCTTTATCAAGTGCCACTTTTATTTCTAGCTTTATTGATATAATTGACATATAGCACTGTGTACGTTTAAAATGTACACGCTGGTCTGAAACACTTGATTCTTACAAAATGATCACCACCATAGTGTTAGCTAACACCTGACTCAGGTCACATAATTACCATAAATTACCATAATTACCATTTCTACGCCCTTGGCAACTTTCAAGTATATAACACAGTATTATTAACTATAATCACAAAGCTGTACATTAGATCCCCAGAACTTATTCATCTTACAGGTGGAAGTTTGTACTCTTTGATCAATATCCCCCCTTTTCCCCAACCCCCACAGTCCCTTGTAAGCACCATCTAACCTCTGTTTCATGACCTTGGCTTTTTTAGATTTCACATATGAAGTGGTATCATTTGTCTTTGTCAAATATCATAGTATTTGTCTTTGTCTGACTTATTTAACTTAGCATAATGCCCTCAAGGTCCATCTATGTTGTTACAAATGGCAAGATGTCCTTCTTTCTCATGGCTGAACAATATTCAATTTTGTATATATACACATTTTTATCCATTCATCCACTAACAGATACTTAGGTTGTTCCCATATATTGGCTACTATGAATAACATGATCTACTTTTCTACTATGTATTTCAAAAAAGTATTTAATTCACTTTCACATATATAACCCTCTTCAAAGAAGTTTCTTCTGAACTTAAAACTGTCATTTACCATATTTTTAAAACTACATGTCAACACTTTAAAAATCTTCCAATTATTAAAACTTAAAAAAATTCTCTGCTACATATAGTACAGATATCCTGAATTCATTAATTTATTTTAAAAATAGTTATTAAGCAAAAGTTTTGTGCAAGGCATTATAAATAATACAAAGTAAGATCGTTTCTGAACTCCAGAGTTATAACCTTGTTGGAGAAATAAAGCATGTGGCAAACTAACAATACAAAGAGAGTTCACCAAAAAAGTGTATTCTTCTGGTTATGGTAAATAAAGAATGACTCATATAGAAAGCAGACTTTCAACAGAAGCTCAAGGATAAGATTCTGATAGGTAGAGATGAGACAAGAGAGCATTCCAAGAGGGGAGTGTCTCTGATATCCAACTAAGGAATTTGAACTTCATTCTGTAACCAGCGCTGAACCCTAAAAGATTCCAAGCAATGGTTTATAAGGAAAGCTCTTTGAAGGCAGTAATAGATCTGAAAGGGTGAGAGTTGCTAAAAGGTAATGTCCTCCCTGAGGTTACACAGTTAACCAGATACCTGACCCTACAATTTGCTTCACTGAACACCTATCTCACTGTTTTCTATTATTAGCATACACCAACAAGAACAAGATTCTATTCAGAGTTACTCAAAGACACAGAATCCATAAGTTATTTTTATTAGCAACCTTCACAGTGATAACTCACAAAATTTTCATTTATCGTGTTAATACATGAACGTCTTTGGATAAAATGTTTTGTTTTAATACATAAAGTATGCCCCTTCATCCCTTTCACAGAGGGCCCATTTATGCTATCTTTCACAGGACATGTTCGAAAATATTGCTGAGGCTAATTTATATATTTGAAATAATCAATGACCTGAAAATTGAGATAACACTAATTTAGAATTACAGCATTCTAAGGTATCATTTTGTGACTTGCATGCACATATACAGACTTCCATATCAACAGTTAAATAGTATAGTATAGAAATAATTCTAGTCTCTCTGGTATAATACAAAACACAATTCACTTCTCAAAACACCCATGTCAATGATAAATCAGAATGTGTTTTAAATATCAGCTTCATCCTCGAAGCTGAAACTAGTCCTTTCACAATACCCTTGACAGAAAGATGTCATCAACTGTTCCATAAAGTTGCACCTCTACCACCCCAATTTAAGATATACATACTAAATCTTTTTTTGAGTACCCTTTTTTGGGTTCTAAAATATCTCAATGATCTCTGTTGTAAACTCTTGAGTAGTTTTCAGAATTTCTAAGAGGAATTACAAAATAGAAAAACCAAGCTTACATCAAGTTACACCATCAAACTAAAAATGAAATAAAAAAACAAAGCATCTACAAAGACTCTTTTGTTCACAAACACATTTAAACAACACTATACTACAGTCCTCAAATTTGGAGTCTGGAAAGAATTTTGAAGAGATATGGCCCTATAACACTGGGATTCCATTATATACTTAGGCTATATAATCATAGCTACAAGGAGTAGGTAAAAGTTCACTGAAAGACCACTGAAGTATATGGAAATTATTTTTAGAGATTTCATTTTAATGTTTCCATAGTTTAATAACTAATCAACACTTTACATAAAGCAATTCTTTTAGACATTAAAAAACCAATTCAGATTAATAAATCCACGTTCCTTCCATAAGGCTAGGTTTATTAAAACAATACATTCCTCTTTAGTGAGTTTAACTTAACTGAGATACCCAACAAAATTTGAAGCAAAGCACGTAATACGCTCTCATCTCTTTGATGTCTCTCCCTGTCTCCAAAATCTCTCATGTAGCTTTTAAGACTTCAACTATTCCGTAAAACCCTTCTTTAGATCTTCAAAATTCACTTTACCCTATAAAAATGTATATACTTGCATACACAACCTCTCCAATATCAAAATTTTCATATTCTCATGCACACCTTTTAGTCCAATTCAGTCTAAATTATGTGGGAATAAATGACAGCTCACTTTAACTGTAGGTGTTTTCACGTTTTGAAGAAGTTTGTTAACCTAACTTTACTTTAGCTTACATAGTCTCAGTAAGTTTAGAAATTAAAAAATCAAAATAAAAACTCAGATTCAGTGAAAAAAGGCATAATCCAGGAGAGGAGACTGGTAGCTGGAGTCTGACACCTGACCCAGTTACAGGTACCTGTTCCCCATTTACCCAGCTCTATAATCAAAGAGCTTAAAATCAACTGGTCCAACACTTCATTTTTAATTAAATTAAATTAAAGCTAATGCCAAAGATCAAGATTAACCACTCAAAAATCTACAATACTTTGCAGCCTCTTCTATTATTTCATTTCATTTTACCTCATACCTCTAGACCCATAGATTCCCTACAACCTAACTTTCTGTACACTGGACCTCAATGGTAGTAGCCGCAGGCCTTCTGTACAAAGTAGCTTTCTGTGTATAGGGTAGGAGTTTAAATGAAAGGAGTATGAGTAGTTTTAAATTCCAGGACTGCCTTAGATTTACACAATATTTTTATATAGTAACTCCAAAAACAAACAAAAAAAACCCCATAAAACAAAAACCAGATATTCTCAATATTCACAAAATTGAGGCATATTTTTGTTTCTTTTACAGAGGATTAAAGTAACGTACAGGCTTCTGGTCTATTCATTCCTCATATTAAGTCAACTTCTGCTTAAAAATGTTAGGTCCGCCTTTTTAGAGGTAAGAAAAGTTAAATTTTAGTCTTTACAATTTGTTGCATTAGAGTGAAATTACCCACTAAATTCAGAAGACAATTTAAAACTCAAGATATAATTATTTGTACTGTATGTGCTTTAAAGATACTAGTTATACACACCCAAACATAAAAAATTATTCAACTGCCACACAGTGTAAATGAATTAGTATCGTATATAAGAACCAGCTGATATACTACATATATATATTTCAAAAAAATGCAATCAATCACCAGACAGAATACTCACAATGTTGGCTTTATAATAGCCTATCTTGTTTTAATATATATTTAAAAATTAAATCTGCCAAAACTTAATGGTAAAAATCTGATTTACAGTCTATGGTAGTCACACAAAGGAGGTACCAGAAATGTCCAAATCTCATCATTACATTTACCAGGGTTGTGTGTGAGGACAGCAAAGGGCGTTCAAATGGTTAAACAGAGAGCTGAGGGTTTTAACTGATTTAACTAACGTCAGTATTTCACATAGATCTAATAAAGCCAAGGTCACAACCTATTCCCACAATGTACCTCAGAAAAGAGAAAAACTTCACTCTGACATCGATTAGTACTGCCTTCTTTGGGGAAAAAACAAGAACAAGAGCACTTTTATACCCTATTTTGTAGCTTTTATAGACAGTTCGCAAAAAAAAAAAAATATAGAGTGTATCTCATCCACTGCTTACTTTTTAAGCCTTCGCTCTTATCTACTCGGTAATTAGATACAAAACAAAACAAAACAAAACAGGATTCACAGCAAGTAAGAACAGAACTCAGTTTCGTGCTCTCCCCAAATCTTACTATTTCCAGCTGTTAGCATCCCTGATGTAGAGAGGACAGATTCGAGTTCTACTTCAATCCCTACTAACTCCTCCCACCCCCAACACACACACATTTCTCTACTTAACAACCCAAGTGCAGCAGAAAAAAGGACCAGCTTGACAATGGGGAGATGATGTGGGGAGACGAGGAGTTGGATAACCAGACCTTCAGAGAAAAAGAACTTTCGCTGTAGTTGCTAGAAATAAGTTATCAGAGGCCTGTAAAGTCTGGCACTGGGTAAGAGCCCAGCGGACCTTCCCTAACTCCAAATCAACGGCCTTTAAAGTGAAAGAGGGCTGGGAACGTAACAGCAGCCACAGCAGCCAGCTTTCTAATTGTGGAAAGTTTAGGCAAATTTGTTCACCGGGGAATGGGGGAAGGGAGAGGAGTGCAAGTCTGGGCTCAGCTGAGGGAGCGCGCGGGGTCTGCCCCGAGCACGGCGGTCGGTCCAACGCGGGAAGGCACAGGGATTTTTGGCAGCAGCAGCGACTGTATCCATCCCGGAGCCCCAGCCGGAGGACGGGCCCGGACTCCGGGTCAGAGTAGGTGGAACGAGGAGGTGGACGGCCAAGACAAGTGGGTCTGCGCGAAGGGGCAAGGGTCCGGGACTCTGGGTGGAAGTTGAGGGCGGGGTGGTGCCGGGACGCCGGAGAGGGAGCGGCGAGAGGCGGCGGGCAGCTCTACTTACTCGGCAGAACCAGATGCTCAGGCGGGCCGAGGCCAGCACTGCGAAGAAAGTCCTCTGGGGATCGGACTGAACGTGGAAAGGCGCCTCGGCTGGGCTCCCCAAAGGGCAGAGCAGCCTCTTGGGCCAGCCACTCAGGAAATACATGGTCCGCGCGGAGCCGCAGAAGCCGCGGCGCCCGGCGGCCCCCGGCCCCGTCCGTCACACTCAGCGGCCCGGGGCCGGACGCCCGCCTCCTACACCGCCACTGGCGGAGTCGGCGGCGACGGCAGCAGCAGCTGGGGGCATCTGCCCGCTGGCCTGGCCGGGCCGGGCCGGGCCGACACGATGCTAAGCTACGAAGGCACCTCCGAGCTGACGGGGCCCGAGGTTGGGGAAGGAGGGGGGAGGGAGCGCCCGGACTAAAGAGGGGGCGGGAGGAGAGCAGAGACCCGCCCCGGCCCCGCCCCATTCTCGGGCTGCGCGGGCGTCACCACGCCGCGTCGCGTGGGAAGGCTAGCGCGCGCGCGCGCACTGGGGACTTCTCCCTTCCCCCCCACCCCCGCCCCCGTCCTGCTTTCTGAAGCCCCGCCCTAATCTTCTCCAGCGGCCTCCGCGCAGAGTCTATACGCAAGCGGTTTTGCCCCTCTCTTTCTCTTGTGCACCTCCCACTCGCAATCTGGAGCGTATAGTCAGGGCCGGGAGGGCGGGACAATCGCCTGAGACTCGGAGGCCTGGAGGCTGAGCCAGGCGGTATGCTGTCTGCTCGGCCCCGCGGTACACGCCCCTCCCCTGGCCTAGCCAAATATGACTTCCCTTGTGGATTGGTAAGGCCTCTAGGGAGAGCTGCCCGGCGTTGCTCGGCCTGGGCGGTGGGGGTTGGGGAGAGAAGGGGGGAGATTGCCGGGTGGGGGGTAACGGGGGAGCGCGTGTCACGTCACCGTCCGGCTAGGATTCCAACCCCGGGCTCCTAGCCGCGACCTCTGTGCTAGGCTGTTAGGTGCATGGCCCAGTGATCCCTTATTGTGTGCTGTGAAAGCTGGTGGTGAAGTTCCTGCCCTCGTGGAGTGTACATCTAGAAGGGGCGTTTATTCAATCTGTAAATAGACACCCAACGACGAAAGTGCCTGAATCCTGTCCTGTCCTTTAAAAGTTTAAATCTAGTATATATTTTTGAATCCAGTTTACATTCCTCAGTCCTTTAAATGTTGGCCAAGGTGAGGCTGTCTGCCTCTTTTGTACCAGAAAAGACTTAAATCGAGACCTCATTTCAGAGCTGGAAAGGACTTTAGACATTATGTGTTCAGTATTTAACTTTTGGACCACAGGGATCACTTTAACAACTGTTTGTTTTATTGACCTGTGAGTAAGAGGACAGCATGAGCAGGGATAGAGTGTGGAGCGAGAGTAGGGGAGTCTGGGAAAAAACTTGCTTCTCATTGTTTACCTTTTTTGTACAGTTTGAATTTTTCTATATGTTTATATTACTTTTTCAATTAAAAATATCTATGTTAGTCCAGGTTAAAAAGAAAAAGTTAAATTACATTCAAAAAGTGGCAACATAGCAAAATAGAAAGTAACTTAATCCATATCAGATGTAACATTGTAGCTAGTACACATAACAAAATATGTAACTCTACATAATTTTTCTAAACATTCACTGCATTCCACAGAAGGTGATCAAATAACCCAGGTTCCTCAAATCAGAGTTGAAACTGCTTCACCACTTTCCAGCCTCTTGTGGTCAGACTCTGTCTCCTTCCTGGTGTTCCCGACCCCCACATCCAGCACAGAAGCCTGGAACATAGTATGGCTGCTATAAACTATTTGTCACATGAACTATTGGATAAAACCCTGATCCAGCTGAATACCATTAGGCAAATAGAGACCCAGAGAGGTTTCTTCACTTGCCAATATAAAATTGTAGACAAATAACAGTTGCATCATACTCTCTTCTTAGATTCATTTATGCAATTGGCAGAAAGAGAGAGGAAATGAAAATAAGTTGCAGCAATTCCACTGGCAGTTTTACTGAATGCATCTGTCTCAGCTCTTGGTCAGAGGGTCTTTGTTCTCAAACCTCTAAGTGTAAGCATCTTTCTGCACTCATGTCCAGTTTAAGGAACTTCTAAGTAACTTGTTGCACTAGGTTTTAACTTTACTTGGCTGACTAGAATTTAATTCCCCTGCCACAGTCCTTTGTAACAATAAAGATTTACAAAATATTTTTAAATATGTTACCTGATTTAGTTCCACAGTAAATCTTAAAGGTAAGTGTGATGTTATTCTCACCTTATGAGGAAACAGGTGCCAGAGTGCTGGAAGAGCCTAAAGTCACAAGTCTTGAAAAGAACTTACCTTCCTTCTACAGACACAGTGATTTTTAGACTGGAGTGAACTGAACTGTGGTAATTGCTTCCTTCAGTGAGAGGAAGAGAGGAGATCCTCTGGGCCTTTCTCCCTGTGGGGTAAAAAAGTATAACGTCTGCCTCTTCACAAGCCCTTACTTATGAGTTCCCCTACTGCAATAGAAACCTTTTGAACTGGATTTTTCAACTTTGAAATATCATATTCCAACTTTATTTTGTAACATCCATAAGCAATTCCTATGCTTTGGATCTTGCTTCTCCCCCTTCCCTTACCCCTGAACCATCACTCTCTTGTCAAACTTACTGAAATCTGTTCTGAGTGAATACTAAACTGATAAAAGAAGGTTAATAGATATATGTTTTTATCTATCAAACTAAGGCTTTTTTAAAAATTACAATAAATTTGATAAGGGTACACAGGAACAGAGATACATTTATAAACTATTGGTGGGGATATAATTTGGTGCAATTTTTCTAAAGGGTGTTGGCATTACATTAAAAAGAGATCTTAAAAATATGCATACCCTTGGCCCCAGCTATTTTCCCTATGATTATTTTCTAAGGAAATAAATACTGATGTGTCCATAGCTTTTAGCTTTAACAATGCACCCCACCAAGTTGTAGCTAAAAGAAAATAAGCTAAATGTCCTCCAAAACATTAATTATAATTCTTTCTTACAATGGAATATTCTGTAAGAATAAAAAATGTTGGGAAAGAATATTTAATCATATAGAAGTATTTCACTGTATACTATAAAGTAATGAAAGCAAATTAAAGACAGCATATAAAATATCCTACGTTCACAAAAATAATATGGTTAGAAAAAAAGAGAAGAAAATGTACCATAATATCGGTGCTTACCACTGATTATAGGTGCTTTTTATGTTCCCTTTTGGGATTTTTTGTATTTTCCAAGTTGTCTCTAATGAACTCATTACTTTTGCAATGAGGAAAAAAAGTTACGTAAAACAGTTAAACAGCTAATTATTGATAATGTCCCCACTTAAAGTCCTGGCCTGCAGCGCTGGCAAGTCAAAGGGAGTAATATAGTAATGCAGAGTTTCAGGCAAAGTCCCAAGATTATTGAGAGGAGGATTAGGAGGAAAAGGCACCCTGAGTCACCCGACCGAAAGTAGGTCTTGTGTACTTCACACATTCAGACTCCTGATGACAGCACAGAACTGGGACCGGAATTTGGTTCCAAGCACAGCACTTTCAATTTTGGTGACCTCCTTGAGAGCCAGTGATAATATTCACTGAAGACAATATTGCTTTAGTTTATGACTCCTTAATGTTTTTAATATTCAACCTTATTACACTTTCATGTGCATCTAATGTATTTGCTTCTGGGTTAGACTGTGTATGTGTGGGGGGGGCGGTTCTACACTACCATGTATGTTGAGTGACCACTGAAAATGTCCCCATACTTCATATATCAATAAATATAATCAATATATATAAAATATATAATCAATTTATTTAAACAAAAACAACTCATGTGACCATGCCGAATTCTTAATTATCATTTTACCCCCTTTTGGAGATTGGTAATGATATCCCCCTCAGTTTAAATGAAAAGGTGTCTGGGTTTCATTTCCAAATAATCTGGGGATGAGCAGAGAAGGTAGAAATACATATATATGAAACAAGGTTGGCCATGAGTTGATAATTTCCAAAGCTAAATGTTGGGTACTTGGGAACATACTGTGTTATGCTCCTTTTCGATATGGTTGACAATTTCAATAATAAAAGTATAAACATTTAAATTAAAAAGAACATCTCAGCAATTTTGGTCATATGTAACTAACCAGTCTACCTTGTCCACAATCCTCCTCACAGTAAACAGTGTTAAATATTACTTGGAAACATTTAATTAACCATAAAGGCAGGGTGGCTTGTTATTAATAAGGCTTAATGGATGCAAATGAGACTTCCTGGGTTGGTGAATGAACACAAACTGGAAAATAAAGAGAAGCCGCCCATTGTTCTTAATCAAAATGGGAACAAAGTCACTATTCTTTCTCCTAATTTTGGTCTTTTTAGAAATTAAAAATTGGAAACAGACCTGATTCCACTTAAATTAGCCAACAATCATAATTGTTCTGTTTGACGATGTCTCAGTGAGTTTTCCTGTATAAAAAATGCCACACCTGAATTTTCTGTGTGTGTATTCTTTATTAAAATAGCAAGAGGAATTGGAAAGAGAAATTGTTTAACCCCATATTGTGAAACAGTACAGCTCACCATAATCTAATCAGATGTTTCTCCCTCATCCTTCTCTACTTTCATTTCTTCCTCCTCTCCCTCCTTCTTCTCCTTATCCAGACAAATATGCCTTTATTATTTTGGACAGAATTCATATTTGTTGCACTATCCCTTTATTTCCTGTATTAGTAAGCTTAGGGTCAAATTTAGCAGTGAATTGTAACAAACCTTCTGGTATGTAATAGTTTGGGCTTCTGTCTTATTCTCATCTATTATTCTTATGTTTCCACTAGGTTTAATCTGACAACTTCAAGAATTATAAACCCCAAATAAGTACCGTTCTAGAAATTAATAGTTTCCATAGAATTTTAATCAAACCAACCTTAACTGTATAATTGTTGTGTTTTGTAACAGTTCAAAATATTATAAAAGGGCAGCACTGTTCTTTTTATTACCTTTTTATAGTTTATATTCTTTTATTGTGGTAAACACAAGACATAAAATTTACCATCTTAACCATTTATAAACATACAGGTCAGTAGCATAAATATATCTACATTGTTGTGAAACAGATCACCAGAACTTTTTCATCTTGCAAAACTGAAACTCTGTATTAGTTCCTGATAACCACCATTCTGCTTTTTGTTTCTGCGAATTTGACTAGATGCCTCAAATAAATGGAATCATACAGTATTTGTCTTTTTGTTGAACGGCTTTCTCACTTAGTATAATGTCATCAGGGTTGTATCATGTGATGGGATTTTCTCCCTTTTTAAGGCTGAATAACACCCGGTTGTATATATATATATATATATACCAC